CGGGGGCATCACGACCACGGCCACGGCCTCTCTGTTCAGCATCACCACTTCCGGTCGATCCACGGCCTCTCCCAAACTCCTCCTTATAGAGCCTGGCCTGGTTGTGGACCTGTGCCTTTTCTTTCAGCTTTGAGCTGATCCAAGCAGTGAAGTTGGTGGTTTTGGCCTCACCTGTCTGGCCAATGCTATCTTCCATCACCAATTCCAAACCACTAAAATCAGGCATCTGGGGATTCCTAGCAACGGCAGTCTCAATTGTGATGAGACGACGGCATATCATCTCGGCACCCAACAAATTTGACACATCGACTTGGTCAACTGTAATCAAGCGCCGAAGGTAATCACACAAACATCGGTGTTCGTGAAGACATGCGGCATAGGAGGACACTCCACTGTTGCGGGCCCACTGCAAGTGATATGTCACCAGGTCAGAGGTTCCCTCACGGATGCTACGGAGAAACTCAGTTGTTGCTCTGGGCCCGGTGATGGGCCAATCGGAAAACTCAACCGAAGTCATGAGATCGAGCGCAGCCTGAAAGCAAAGATACCTACGACCCTGTGCATCACGGTGATCTCCCAAAAGCCGAGAGTCACCTTTGGTTTTCTCTCTCTGCTGAATCCACTCCGATCTCTTGGAAGTGGGAACACGGACTGCATGGACCACTTCGCCCTCATACTCAACCAATGCTGAATCATGAATGTACACAGCATCAACCATGTCTTCGGCTCTGAAGGTTTCCCCAAAATCATCACGTGTGACATCAGCAACAAGCCATTCGAAACTCTCTATCTCTTCCACAGTGGCATCATTGAACAAATTACTCATGGTCTTGGCCCTGCGTTTGTGATGGTCAAGCTGGGCCCGAGGAGTTTCATCAAAGGCGTATACATACGGGGACTGGGCATCCGGGAAATCGCTGTTACGATCCAGAGTGATGTGAGGAACAACTGTAAGATGGATACGCTCCAAATCACCATCAGGAGTCAACGCTATCCATTGCCCGGGACCAGTCTTTTCAAGTAACACCCTATGATGCCAATAGAAGTCACCAGCATCCCGTGGATAATGACGAATCACTTGAGGTTCACGAATGTCTAAGGTCTTGGGATCATTGGCCATACTGATCAGCCAATCGCTTCAGGTCTGATGGCCGGACTGGCCCACTACGCACTGGAATCGGAGTAAATTTCGAAGGCTCTGGAGACTTTCCAGAGCTAACTGGACTAGGCAGTGCAGCTGGCAAATCCACTACCACTGGAGCTTCGCAAAATACCCCACGCAGCAAGTACTTACGATACACCAGATATCCAGCAGCAATCAAAACACACCGGAGGACAAAAAGTCCAATGCACTTCAAGGCCAATGATTGAAGAAAATTGACACCCAAACAGCTTTCCAAAGAGTGATTAGCAAATTTGATAGTCTGCTCAGCTCGAAGGATCTCTGTCCGGACAGCCGCCAATTCACTTCGCCGGGCTGTGGAATCACCGCTATCAGTCGACCACCAAGACCGAATCCAATGGCTAACAAGGACCACGATGACAGTTAGCCTACCAGAATCTAGTTCACCGCAAAGCATCTTATTATATGTTGTTTATTGGCTCACATATGTATAGATGCACGCATATACACTCTCTTCTTTGCTCAACATTCTGGCAGCAGCAGCTTGTGTGAGATGTTGTCGAGTCATTTGCTACAATGCGCTGTGTGAATACTCTGCACGGCAAAAACAGCTTGAACTGAAGCGAAAGCTCCTGCAAGCGTGGCAAACTATTGCACTAGTCTGCCCCTGCTATGCTTGAGCTCAAACACAGCTCTCGTGACACATGTTGCAACTAAGTCAACTGTGTATATAGTATGTGTATGTATATATATATATATGTGGTTAATAAACGTGTTTCAACACCTTCATCCATTGAAGCTGCACTGGCTTGGAAGCGCATACAGTAGGCCAGTAGGCCACAAAGCCACGGCAAGCACAACTTCTTCCCTCGATGCTGCCACACAAACGAGCACATGTTCCCTCACTTGCATGGGCCAAAGCCCTTCACTTGACCTTCAGCCGCCTGGCCCAAAAAAGGCAGGCAACAATTGCAAAGTGTTTGCATACACCTGCCTTCCGGGCCAGTGCCTCGACGTATTGCGAAGATGCTCCTCCGGCTCTAGCAGCAAAGTTTTGAGGGTTTGCTGCAACTCGGGTCCACGGATATGAATTGCACTTCAACCACTGGCCTTGTCGTGAGTTGTAGCCTCCCCCTGTAGACCTCGAGTTCGGCAAGCAGGATGAGACAATTCACTCCGCGGCCACGGTAGGGTCACCAAGCAGAGTAGCAAACCCTAGCACCAGTTGAAGGCAAGTTAGCCTACACTACGCTGACATAAAGCTTACGACTGATGACTCTTGGCGCCTCGAACCATGATCCAGTTGTCAATTCATAGGCAGTCTCGAGTTCCTCCTAGCACACTCACCACTCCTTGCTAGACTGGCCAAAGTCTGCATGGCATGCCCAAGAGCAGGTTGGACATGGATGTGCCTCACGAGATCACGTCAATGCCCCCAGGCCTCAGGCAAGGTTTGACTGGATCTCAAAATTTCAGAAGACACCTCCTCAGTGGGCAAGAATAGCATACCCTTCGCGCCCTCTACAATGGGTCATGGCACCGGATGGGTTTGCATCGTTTCACAAAGCTATTCCGGTGACTTGGTCCAGCCTTGTAGCAAAACAAAAAACACATTGTATCACTTCAGCCCTGTGATGCCTCCCCCACTTCATCACAAATGCAGACTCTACAGCTACATCAGCAGTGTCCCGGCTGCTTTTAACCCAACTGCTTCCCTTTCAAAGAAAACCTAGCTTCTGCCGCGCCATCATCTAGCAGCTAGCAACACCCATCAATTCCCTGATCACTGATGAAGGGGTTCCAATTGTATGTCTCCTTGTGTCCTCAGCAGCGATCAGGTGCAATCTGTGGTCAAGGCGCTGGCATCGGGAGCACAACCACTTGCGATCACAGTCGCTTCAACCTGCAAAGGTGTCAATGTGATAACACGACACTGTGTCCATCAATGCCCTCTGAAGTCTCAGACTGCCAAGGCAAGGTGGCGATTCAGTGCTCAAGCCTTGGACCCAAACAGCATGGCAAGGGACACTGGACTGACCTGACAAATGGCAAGCAAATTGGACATCAAGCCCACAACTGCTTGACCAGCGGCAGTGGCCATTGAAGCTGGTGGTTGCTTCTGTGGGGTCACCAATCACCTCACGGCGACTCAAAGCAACACTTTGTAGCCAGTGAGGCCAAGTGGACTGAATTGACACACATCCAAATCCAAAAATTCAATTGCCGTTGCAAGGCCTGGACAATGCCGAACTAACCTGAACATCCCGTGGCGCACCGGACGTACGTGTTTGAACACCACAGTAGGATGTTGATATCAAAGAACAGAGTTGGTGAGTCTAAAGGAGATGCGAAATGAGACGAAGAAACGCTTGAGTTTTGGCTGCCAAAGGTGAGCAAGGGTGCAGCATGTGGTCAACAAGGTGACTAAGAACTTAAACCTTCAAAGCAATGAGCTGCCGTGCAGTAGTGTGAAAGTGTTGGCTAGGCGGATGAAGGCAATCTGTGAGGTGGCTCTATGTCTGGCGGTTGGCATTGCATCAGCGGTGATTAATTGGGGCATGCAACTGAGGGTTTAGAAATGCCTTGGCTGAGTAAAGTTCGCGCTTCACCGCAAGCCCAAGCCACCACATTGGACTTCAAAGTGTGGCATGACACGTCATCGCATCATGAGCCCCCACATCCCCAATCGGAAATGGCATCGCAAATCAGGCCTTCGCAAATCACCACAAGTCCATCGGTCACCACAAGATATCACACTGCACTTCATCGTAGAAGCACAAATAACCGCATTGCTGTGATGAAGCGTAAGGTCACACATCACCACACAACAAAATGCAACAACACAACATCACATCCCACCACACAACACTTGGCAACGCGCATCCCAGTTTGCCATCGAGCCGCCATATTGCACCTCGCTTCCCATTGGTGCGTCACAAATGACCTCACACCACACTACACTTCATCCGTGCACATGTGTCAACACACCACTTCACAGCATCAGGAATCGCCACATTACTTCACCAACTGACAAATCACTACACGCCACCTTACCACACCCGTACGAAGTAACACTTCAACGCATCACAAATCACTATAGTATAGCAAGTCACCGAGCACGAATCAACATGTCACACTGCGCTCAGAGATAGCCACATCGCAACACACTACAGTCTATCACCACACGCACCACTCACTAAGATATACAGTATAATCATTAATTTTGAAAACCGCCCTCGCGCCACTTAGCAACTGAGCAGGCGCGCTGCGGCAGTCCCACACACTGCTACGCGAAGCTTCCTTTACTCCCAGGTTGTAAACGTTCATTCATGTTTGCTTGAAAAATGTATGGAAGGTGATTGATTACAAGGCCTTTTGGGGCTCAGTGGACATGTTGCTTTCAGGCTCAACTTGGTTGCATTTGCTACTTTTCCAGACCCGAGAGCTGGGTCAGGCTGTGTCCAAGTTGGTCAAAAATGTGGAACCTGTCCTCTCACCGCTTTTGCGTCGCTACTTCAGCAAGGGTCTCATGTCAATGGCGTAGCAAAGATAGGGGCAAGAAACGGAAGTCATACTTCTGATTCAGCTTTCCCGCAGACTTCACTTCAAGCTGGTGTCTATGCTGCTCAGGATGCAAAGTCAGCATGTCTTGGTCACAACTGCCTGAGTACGCTGGAACATGTGAACGTTTGCTTTTGCCTGGAAAATGCGGGTTTCAACCATCTCCTTTGAAGATGGTTGTTCTACGAGCGGCCTCCTAAATAAAACCTGTTTCTCCAAACTGCCGGTCGATGGCTGCCAAAGAACAACAATTGAAGCTGAATTCGTTGCTGAACTACCTGAGTGTGGGTCAATTCATCCACAGCGCTGCTACTTGCCTCCACTGAAACGCAAAGCTTGACGATGCCGATGCCTTGTTCAAGGGACCCCGGACTGTGACCCTCACCCACCTAAAGCTACCTAAACATTCTGAAAAGCTACACGCTCCTCTCTCTGCACTCAAGGATGCTCCAGACACTCCCGGCTCATGCACCGTGGAAGGACGTGTTGGCGCGCTGGCGCGACGGTGTGAGGGGTTCTTCCGGTTGATACTCGAGATCAATCCCCAAATCAATCCGTTGGTACAGAAACTGAGCCAGGTTATACACACTCACCGCGATGCTGACTATTTGTCGAAGAGCCGTGGAAGCATCTGAGACTGTGTACCAATAGGCATACGTTGTGAGTGCCAAGGATGCACATGCTTCAAAGCCCTGTTCTTCGGCGAAGATCTCCATCAAATCTCTTCGCATATATCCTTTCTTCACGCTCTTGCTCAGGGCATCTCGCAGGTTCAAGAGGCTCTCGGAAAAGACCTGTTGACCAAGTGACTTGGACAGGACAAAGACCATGAAGCAAGCGAACTTGTAGTTGCCACTGAAGACCATGGTGTGGATGTTCCAACAGTCCAAGACCAGATCCAGGACCAGCAACGAGACTCTCACGTACAAGCCCGACAAGAAGCGAAACAGGCCCCCGTCGCAAGCCCAGCCCTTCTCAAGAAGGACATTGGGAGGCAGGGCGATCTCCTCTTCTGGTTCTCCTTTTGTTTGATAGTCGACAGATATTAGGTCTTTCAAGAGTGCTTTGCCCTCCTCATTGGCATCCTCCTCGTTGGCCTCCTGGGCATCTTCCCTGTTCTCACCTTCACACTGAACAAAAAGTGTGCGGTAAGAGTAGGAGCCTTGAGCAGCTGTAGCACAGGGCAAGCTCAAGAAGCACTTGCCCAAAAGGCGTAGGACATACAAAAGGCCTGCCAAGAGCAGCAGGCATATTAAAAAAATAGTGATGGGATTGCATTGCAGTTCGAGGTCGACATTGGTCTTCTCCGAAGCTTCCCATGACAGAGTTGCTTTCAGCGAGGTCCTGGACCAAAGGCGGTAAGGCTTTTGCAGCAGCGCCTCCCAATGTGGATTTTGCAGCCCATACTTTAGTCCGAACTCCAGCACGACGCTGGGCACCCAAGTGGTGCTTTTACATACACTCTGAGCAATCACCGTCTCAAAGACTTCATCCTCACAGTGTCGAGGTCTTGCCAGCATCACGATGATGGTCACCAAGAAGAAGAATCGCGCTAAGGACAGTCTCGGGCCAACGCCTTCTTCAACCACAGGGATTTCTAGTTTTACTTCGTCCAGATCGCAAGGAGCCGGCGGCGCCAACATCAACCCAGGTGCTGCCAGGGCTTTTCGCAAGCCTCCGCAGGAGAATGAGCCTTGCTTAAGGCTTCGCGTCTGCCAGTACCAAGCAGGGAGGAAATAGAGGATGAAATGCAAAGAAATCCAAAAGTACGGCTGCACCACCCACATGCCGCACCCAAAGACCAAGACCAAGATGCTGAGGACATCGATCACCCGCAGCACACAGAACCAAGGATGTCCGATGCGGTGCCTGTAAAGGCAAAGCCATGCCCCATGGTAAAAGGCAAAGCCGTGTCCCTTGGATGTGCTGATCAAGGTGGCCAAACCCAAAAAACAACAATGCGCAATACGATTAGAGTCACAATTGTATACTCATATTCAGAGGCCTGTTAGTGGCTTGGAGTTTTTGCAAAACCATCCCACATAGGTCACGTAGCCCCACCCAATTCCCAGGTCTTTGTCTCTTCTCCAGGCAGCGCCAGCATCACGCGATGGAGATGCCTGAAACAGCGCCAAAATCATGCCCAAGATGAAGGCGAAAGGAAATCCCTCCAGGACCCACGGCTTCTCCAGCAATGCCCAGAACGTCCTGGAGCTCGGGGGCTATGTCTGTGGCATGTAAGGCCCTGAAACTACACAAACCCGAGGTGGAGAAGCTCACCCGCAACAAAACTATGGGACCTAATTACTGTACTTGATCACGTGTCAATCCTGGGTGAAACCCTTTTTGATTCACGTCCTCTGCCGATCCAAGAACTCTCTCGTCTGGACGTCCCTCACCACGGTGGCATCCACACAGGTGGTGCCATCCGACATGGTCTCGAAGACGTCGGCGCCGCAACGCACCAAGAGCTGTGCCATCTTCAAGCGACCCTGAACGGCCGCACTGAACAAGGGCGTGCTGCCCTGCTTGTCCTGGTGCGGAGGTGAGGCAAACAGAGATGGCATTTGGTTCTTGCAATCGGTTTTTGGGATGTTTTGGAGAACTTCTGCAATGTCTTCAAAAACGGTAGCTCGGCGCCGACTTTCAAGAAAATCCGCCCGGGTCAAAATCGGTTGCCACGAAACCGTTTCAAGCGTTTTCAATGGACGATGACGAATTGGGACCACACCTTCACATCCACGTCCGCATAGCGCTCCAGCAAGAGCTCCCCCATTGCCACATCGCCCTTCATGGCTGCACGATGCAAGGGGGTTGAGCCTGCCTTGTCCTCCCCGTCCACCTTGGCACCAGCATCCAGGAGCAGCTCTGCTATCTTCATGGACCATGGAGAGGTCGCAGCAGCTGCATAGGACAGAGGAGATCTGCCAAAGTTGTCCTTTTCATCCACGGGAAGCTCCTGACTCAATAGGAACTTCACGTCCTCCACCGATCCAGCTCTCACGGCTTCATGCAACAGCGTGCCGTTCTGAAAGCCCCCGCACTTCACTTGCAGGTGACTCGTCGCATTCGTGGCGGCCAGCTGCCCTTGGGACGCGATCTTGCACCTCTGCAAGGCAGTCTGGTCCAAGCAAAAATAGGAGGCGCGATGTTGGCAACACGAACGGATCTTCTTGACACTCCATGTTGAAAACCACTTCTCGACATGGTCGAAGCAATCCTCATTGCAGCCCATGCTCACGTTCTGGCAGTAGTCCTGCTTCTGCGCAGACCAGCCGTAGAGGCACTCGGATTTGCCGGCCTCACAATTATACTCCATGTTCTGGAGCCTCCGCGATGTAGAGGAGCCGGCCACCTGGCACTTGCGACCAGACCAGAGTTGCCACTAGCAAGGCAGTGTCTGTGTGTGTGTGTGTCTGTCTGCACGTGCGAGCACGTATGCACCCCACGTTTAGCTCATGATATGGTCAGAGTTTGTTTTGCTACTCCACCACAATCTGCCACCTCATTGAAATCAACCCACTTCTTGCAAAAAGGAAATGGCCAGGATAAATTCGCGTGGGAGTGAACCAAATTGCCCATTGTAGGCCATGAAAAATAAACCTCTCACGACTTCCACTTGCACCCATGTTTCTCCTCTAAGGATCGGCCCAGATCCCTCGGTTAGGGCTACTCAACTGCAAAACAAGTAGCAAAAGTCTCCCAAATGATCAAGAAAATTCAATAAGAAATATATGTGCAACAAAAAATCCAGTATCAGCTACGCCGCTACCCTCACCAATCTTGCCAGTTACCAGCAACAGGCGGTTCAACGAAAAGTCGGACTGTCACGCCTGGACCTGCTTTCCGATGGAAGAGTTCCCACTCGGTGGACTTGAACCGTTGCAGCCTTTGCCTTGTTTTCTGCAGCACCAATCTTGCTTCGCTAGTGACCACTCCTCAGTAAAACTTCACTCTGGCAATGAATCTTTAAAAAATGGTGCGTAAGTCAAGCATGATACCCTCGTGGATAAATAAACATCCAAAAGCTCGCATGCCATTGTGCAAACGCAGGAACAAGCTCGCAACATTTGGAACATCAAGGCTTGTGGCTACTAGCTGTCACGAACTTCTTGGGTCAAGTCGCACGGGAAAAGTCGCTTAATGCAGCATCGCAATCAAAGGAGGGGACTTCACACCCGGCTTCCTGCAATCATGTACTGGTGTGGGCTGCAAGGTGCAAACGATCCCTGCCTGGAGGCCGCATGCCCCGCAGCTGTCGCATTGCTCCCGCACCGTGCTGTAGGCCAAGATGCACGCGTCCTGGCAAAGCATCAGCCAAAAGGGAACATGTCATGATCAAGATAGATTATATAGATTAGATCAAGAGAAGTTAAAATTTAGAAACTTAGATTAGATTAGATTAGTCAAACAGACAGACAGACAGACAGACAAACAAACGAATAGATATATAGGTATAGATTCTGACAGATCAAAAAGTCGTACTCTCAGCAGTCTATCAGGGCCTTGTCGTCGCCAAACATATGGACTTTCGCCCACTTGATGCGGTCAATGCACTTCGAAGTTTGCCCTTGCCAAGTGAGGGTTGGCAGCGCACATTGCGCTTCATGAAACCATGCTCACCGTGCCTGCGTAGGTGCAAGAAGCTTGGCATCTCAACGAACTGCATCCTTTCTGGAAGTTGGTGCAGCACCTCACATAAGCTGAGCAAAACAAATGCTACTGAAATCCTACGCCAAAACTATGGCAACACAAAGCTCAAACCAACCCTTCCACATCCTTCTGCCACGTTGCCAAGATCGCTTTGCATCAGACCACAGGTGTTCCTTGGGCTGTCTTGCATATGTTTCGCCAAGGGCTCATTTCACATCAAAAACACAAGTCTTTTGGACCCAGGTTGTCCTCTTTCAAGTGCAGTCAAGCCACATTGGCAGTGCAAAGTTGTTCAGTGCAACCTCTCTGCGTCCTGTTGCAGCACCAATCCTTCTTGGAGCTTGACCAGCGTGGCCAGTTGGAGAAGTCAGCATCACAGTCATAGATCTGTGCGACAAGCGCAGGGGTCTTTAGCGTTGTGCACCACTGGGCTAAACAGGCTAAACATCACAAGCATCACCGTCCGAGTGCGGTCGATCGTCCGTGGAAAAGTCTAACTCGGTCCGTCACGCCTGGACCTGCTTTCCGATGGAAGAGTTCCCACTCGGTGGACTTGAACCGTTGCAGCCTTTGCCTTGTTTTCTGCAGCACCAATCTTGCTTCGCTAGTGACCACTCCTCAGTAAAACTTCACTCTGGCAATGAAAGCTTTAAAAAATGGTGCGTTGTCAAGCATGATACCCTCGTGGATAAATAAACATCCAAAAGCTCGCGTGCCATTGCGCAAACGCAGGAACAAGCTTGCAACATTTGGAACATCAAGGCTTGTGGCTACTAGCTGTCAGAACTTCTTGGGTCAAGTTGCACGGGAAAAGTCGCTCAATGCAGCATCGCAATCAAAGGAGGGGACTTCACACCCGGCTTCCTGCAATCATGTACTGAGGGTGTGGGCTGCAAGGTGCAAGCGATTCCTGCCTGGAGGCCGCATGCCCCGCAGCTGTCGCACTGCTCCCGCACCGTGCTGTAGGCCAAGATGCACGCGTCCTGGCAAAGCATCAGCCAAAAGGGAACATGTCATGCTCAAGATAGATAAATAGATAGAATAGATTAGATTAGATTAGATAGAGAGCGACAAACAAACAGACAGAAGGACGAACAAATAGATAGGTATAATAGAGTCTGACAGATCAAAAAGTCGTACTCTCAGCAGTCTATCAGGGCCTTGTCGTCGCCAAACATATGGACTTTCGCCCACTTGATGCGGTCAATGCACTTCGAAGTTTGCCCTTGCCAAGTGCGGGTTGGAGGCGCACATTGCGCTTCATGAAACCATGCTCACCGTGCCTGCGTAGGCGCAAGAAGCTTGGCACCTCAACGAACTGCATCCTTTCTGGAAGTTGGTGCAGCACCTCACATGAGCTGAACAGAACGGATACTTTTTGATCATGCCAGCCTTGCTTCATCCTGTCACGCCCTATGGCAACACAAAGCTCCAGCTGCCAAGCTTCTCAGATCGTTTCGCATAAGACCACAGGTGTTCCTTGGGCCGTCTTGTCTAGGTTTTGCCATGAGATCATTTGACCACTCTTTCACATCAAACAAAGAAGCCTTCTGGAACCAAAGTTGGACCTGATACCTTCATCTCGCCGAAGTCGCATCGCCAGTGCAGCGCAACGAGTTTTGACCTGCAAGGACAAAACTTGGCGGGGGCAGCGAAAGCTTCGGATTGATGGCCTAGGCCTGGGCTTTGAGGCACATGTTCATTTCAAGAACCCTGGGCGCCTGCAGTCTGATTCTTGCAGCCCAAGCCTGCTTGGCTGCAGCACCAAGCCTGCCAGTCAACTCCTCAAATCCTTCAAATGTAAATTGCAAGAATGATTCTAGGTTGAGTGTGGCTAGATCAGGGCACTGCTCCCAAGTCTCCAGGCCTGTTGGGCTCGCTTCTAGTGTCAGTAAAAAACACTCCAGGCCTGCTGGGCTCGAGGCCAGCCCTGCACCAAGTGCTCCTCACAGTTGTACTCCACCTCCTGTTTCAGGATTGCGCCCCCCGGTCAGCTAAAGCGCACAGCCAGGGTCTGGTATCTGTTTTCGGGGGCCAACCAGTTGGGGTGCGGGTGGCACAAACTGTAACACTCCTGTTCGTTTCGGTTGGATCTGCCTGGACTGCGCTGGAGCTCATGTTCTGCGAGCGATTCTGGCTGGAGAGAGGGCATCCCTTCTTGAAGGTGTTGCAGCACCTCCAATGAGCTGGACGAAATGTGAGCTAGCAGCTAAGAGCAGCTAGTACTATGGCATCCTATGACCAAAACAAAGCTTTCCGTGCATACCCTTCTGCCAGGCTGCTCAGATCGTTTGGCTTCAGTCCACAAGTGTTCCTTGATACGTCTTGTCTGGTCCCTCTCACCACACTTCATTCACATCAAAAATTAAGCTTCAAATTTTCTGGACCCGGGTTGGACCGCCGTCAAGTGCAGTCAAGCCACACCGCCAGTGCAAAGCTGTTCGGTGCAACCCCTCTGCTTCCTGTCGCAGCACCACTCCTTCTTGGAGCTCGACCAACTTCGAGCCCACTGAGAAAAGTCGGCATCACAGTCATAGTCCCGAGGATGCTCGGCCGACTTCGCCGCATGCGGAGACCTTGGGGGCGGGCATCCCTTTCCACCATGGCGACAGCACCAGTTCTTCTGCTGCAGTGACCACCCCTCGGGGTCAGGAGCGCTGCAGTCATAGGCTTTCAGGGCCTGGCACTGTGCTGCGCCTGCGCTCTCAGCGCGCACAAAGGAGACCATAAGTAGCAGCTCACATAGGACCCGCGTCCATAGAGCGCTCACCATGCTTCCCCACTACATTCGAACCGGAAAACTCACAGAAAGCTTTGGACTGTGGCTCCAGAAGCACACGGACACACTCCACTGGGTTCCCTCGATGAGGGTTACCTGAAATGGTTGTGATGAACTTCCAGCCCTTCGATGTGGGACCACAGGATGTATACAAGCATCTGGATACGTAACAATTGGGCAGCCTGGCATGTTCCCATGCCAGGAGCTCCGCGGGTGGTCCAGTGGTCCGGGCCTACCATGTCTTGCGCTTCTGAATGGGAGAACTCAATGAATCGTTGCAAAAAAAATTTGGTCAACCCCTGCAGTGGATTGAGGCATCCCACGAAGCAGCTGCCCCTTTGGTTCTAACTTCCTCCACCATCAACTCACGTTGAGTCGGACCAGCAAGTGATGTTTTACATGGTGTGATCTCCGATCATCTTTCACATGTTTGGTGGACAAACAGGACGGCGACGGTGTGCCGATATAGCCTCCAACAGGTTTTAAGATTTTTCCTTGGGTAGGGTCAGCTCCTTGAGGCCCTTGGCACATGGTCACGCGGAACAAAGATCTATCAACGTGGGTCGGTATGTAAACGGGTATCGGTATGGTGTGTATGCATGCAATACAACAATGATTCTGGCAAACGCACTTCACCCCAAAACAACGTTTTGTATATAATCCTTCAAGCCATATTTTCGCCGTCGCCCGGTCTCTGACCACCCAACAGGTCCCAGATGCAATGAGCAGGGATTTGATGGGAAATGCCATCTGAGAGGATCAAATTCGGGAACGGTTCCGGCAACAAAAACTGCCAGAGCCCAGTGCCGGGTTCCAACGTTTTTCAGGCGGTACACAAGGGTTAATTTGCGGTGCGTTCTTGAGAAGGAAAATTCCACTCCCAAAATGTCCACTCCTTGTTCTCAAATACTTGTGACGGCATCCGTTTGGTGCTCTGAGGCATGTGGTTTCAACAATGCAGCCAGCATTTTTCTTGCAATTTTAGGAGTGCCCTGTAAGGGCTCACAGTCGTAGTCCAAATCATTGGCAGATGGTTCCAAGGTAATAGACTGTATGACTGAAAAAAACGAGTCAATGTTGTAAGGGCAATGGGAACTGCAATGGGATCGTTGGACTGCATTGAGGAGGCTGACGTGCTTGCACAATGTGACGTTTGCAACAATGTGCGCGCCTACATTTGTCTTTGCACCGCTCATTGTTCATGAAAAATTGTTTCCATCAGGAATATGAAGTATGAGTTGGCCTGGGTTGTTCCTGATATTGTTTCTTTATGTATGTGACGTGTGCGTGTGTACGGTGAAAGGGCATGCTGCATGTCACATGTCTCTCTTCCGCGTGTGTTTCGCTGACTTTGAGGCCTTGTTGATGAATGTCATCAACGTGCCCAAACCGCGGTGCCAGGATTGAGGTTGGAAAAGTGATAGGTAAAAAAAGGGTGCGGCAAGGCCATGGCGGACGTTTGTTCGCACTGTGGCCCGTTCGTGTTCATCCTGATTGCGTTTCGCTGTGGTGCATTGAGGTTGCTAGCGCTTGGCACCACCCAAGACCTCCAGTTGAGGAAGTCAATCCAAATTTATGAGGCAAATTGCGTTTTAAAAAATTGTGTTCCAAGTGCTGGGGCCAGCCGCTGCAGAAGGAGGCTGTGAACACCATTTGCAAACCCAAGAGGTTGCCACAGCAAATTTGAACGAGAGGAACCTTACCCTTATGTGTTATGGTGTTTAACGCGCCAAATGGTCCAATCCTGCTTGCTGCCTGTTTAATCCTGAAGGCAGCAAACTCACGGAGCAGAAGTGCACACACAAAACGCATGTGCGATGTGAAACAACCTTCCAACGTCCAATGATCGAAATTGCATGACTACCCCTCAACGCAACCACGACGAAAGCCCTCGCTTGACTCCGAGGCTCTTGCTTGGGAACCTGCTGCTTCTGCATTGAAGAGCGCCGCCTGCCGGGAAAAGAGTCAGGACAATGTGGGAACCTGCTTCTGTGAACGCACCCTTCGTTCCAGTTTTTTGTTTCAATGAGTAATTGCCCGTGAACCATCAAACATACACCTGCACACTGCTGTTTTGAAAGCGCCTGGGTGTCACACTGGCAGTCGCATCCTGGGCCGGCAGCTGTTTCAGCGTGTGCGCTTTGAACGGGTGCAGGACGCAACATGATGAAACCACTTTCGCGTTTCCAACCCACAACTTGTAGTGCACATTCCCTTCCCAACCATGTCCAAATCGCTATTTGGGCACCTTCCATCTGGTCTCACGCGCTTCGGTTCCCGTTCGGACGCTCCGAAACTTGAAGCCGGGCACTGTTGGGACGAAACAGATCAGACTCACATGCTTCATAAAAACTGTTCGCGGACATATTTCTTTTTAGATTCTACTTGCCAATCACTTCCTGTGGGCACGTTCAATAATTCAATTCTTCGCGGCCACCCCACACAAAACAGCATCCAATTCATGGAGTTGTCCTACCTTCTCCTTCTTTTTCCCCACTTTCCATTTTTTGTTTATTTATCTCATTTTTTTCCGCAGCGAGTTCTGGTGGAAAACCATTTGTATACCGGCGGTTCCCGGATGCGCATGGCCATTTGTATACCGGCGGCCACCGGATGTGCAAAAAGTTGATGGGCTGGGCCAAAGTCCAGACCCACATCGGCCTTTAGGGACCCTCTCGAGCAACGAGTTCGCCTAAGGGCAGGTGGTCCGCTTCAGCAGGACCATCACGAGGGAGAGAGACCAATGAGGCAGCAAGAGCGTGCGTGGCTGCATGTGTGTTGATGGCTGCGGTGGCGGCTGCCTGGATGGCTCCGGGGGAGAGTAAGTGTGCCATCTGACCCCATCTTCAATGGCTAGCACGATCAAACGGCAACGGGAGGCTGTACGGAACTCAGGGTACGCCCGCTCTTTGGCCTTTCTTGCATCTTGTAATGCCGCTGCTGCAAACTGGCCCCCCCCTCGCCGTTGTGGTTGGCCGGTGCTGGTGAGTGGCGCAAACCAGCGTGGTGTCGATGGCCAGCTGGCTGCCATTGTGGAGTGACAAGCCGTTGGCAATTACATCAATTCGTGGATCATCAACTTGCCAGACGGCCGGGAGATTGAGGTCTGAGACCCTAGTGGGCATGATTGTGCATGGTGACCCTGGCGCCTGCTTCTCTGCGCTCTCTGGCCGCTGCATGTTCTAAAGGAATAATTACCTCGAACCCGCGGGACCCCAGCCTTGGAACAAGCTGCGCGGTGGTCGCCAAGTGAGTCAAGATTGCGACGGCACCGGCAGGTTCAGCGAGGGTTTGTCTGGCTACGTTGGCCGGAGCAGCCGGAGGAGGTATACAGTTGTTTTTGGGACTGGCCGCGTCAAGTAACAGGAGCCATGAGGCTCTACCCATCTCAGCCTCTGTCGTTTCTATCCACGGAGTGCGGCCACGAAAAATTCAAGGCTGGGCCAAATACAGCGCCAAAGTGCTGCCCCAAAAGGCAACTCCTGTCCCGCGAAAGTGGGACAGTCGCCTGGGCCAGGCAACCCCAGCAGTTTCGCCGCAGGAGTAGGGCAGCTCGATTTTGTGAGAGCGTTGGAAGGATGTCGGCTGCGTCCGGACAGGCCAGTAGCCACAACCAGGCGGTGCCTTTGGCAGCAAATCGCGGCCCACTGCGGGGTGGTGGCCTGCCGGCAGTGAGTGCGGCACGGTGATTGTTTTTTTTTCTCATGGTGATTGCTCAGGTGGCGCGCGGTCAGCCAAAGCTTGCCAAAAAAACCAGGTTCCTCCTCCTGACCGCAAAATTTGGAGGGAGTGGTAGGCGGAGGGAACAAAACGGTAAACCCAATCCGTGGTGATGCCACCGACTCTCAGAGCGGAGCATGGTTGGACATGCTGGGGTCAAAGTCAGACAAGTCCCGGACAGGGAGCTCCCACCCCCGTTCCGGGGCGCGGGTTTCATATACATTGCCAAGGTGCGCATACCACGGCCGCAAGCTGACGGTGGAAAGCACCGGCATCAGCAGGTTGTTGCCCGGCTGGCAAATCACCACACCTTGGAGAGAAACCTTGTCCAACATCATGCGGCCGCGGCGACGCTTGGGCCACGATGTTCTGATGTGAGCCATTTTGACGCCTCCAAAAAGCAAAAGAACACTTTCCGACAAAATGTTTCCATGTTTTTTGCCCTTTTTCGATCACTTTTTGAAGCCTAGACACTTTAACAACCCGCGCAGACCGGAGGAGCTGAAAACATTAGTACTTACGGTGTTTTCTAGCCGTTGACAAAGAGCCGCGCCAGGGTGAAGTTGAAAGGGAGGGGTGACACGAACTGCAATGCGGTGGGTTCCCCGTGGAAAGAACAAAATCTCGAGAGGGGTCCATTCGGACGATGCCCGGACACGAGTCGAATGCAGTCGGTTGCGAAAGCAAGCGGTTGTTCTCAGTCTTGAGCCAAATGTATCAGTCATGTATGTACATAAAATGTGCGACCATACAAAGGTTAGTTCCAGGAAGGTGTTTTCTCAGGCTTGAGCCAAATGTATCAGTCAGGTATGAGTGTAAAACCATACAGAGGTTGGTTCCAGGAAAAAGGAAACACAGCGGGCCCCCCCCCCGGGATTTAAAATGAAATGTCGGAGGGCGATTCTCAGTGAGATAGGCGTCCACTCTGGCTATAACGCATGTTTGCTATAGCACAAGGACAACTCAGGTAGCGTAACCGCTACCTTTCGTGACTTTGCGATCGGGGTTTACCCTTTTTGCCGCACTACGTGCTCTCTCAACTTTGAGTATTTCACCGTGTGTGAGTCCGTTCGCCGTGCTTCTTGCTCAGTAGTGGTCTGTCTGTCTCCCAAAAACCTCCTCCAGTCTCACGTGCTGGGTCTGCAAAGTTTTTGCATCCTGAGAGCAAGCCCAGTGGCCGCTGCGCTTCACTTAGCCACGCGCCGGTCATGTCGGGTTCAACAACCTGTCCCGGATGTGCCAAGCGTCAAGATCAAGGCCATTCAAATCCCCCACCAGTTTCACCACTTACAATGTCCCTTCAC